TGGACCGACATATGGTAAGTCCACATCAGGCGGGTACACCCATCCACAGTCTTTGATGAGCATGATCATTTTGGTAGACATCTCATCACCTGTCTGCAATCGAACGATCCTGAAATCAGGCACAATCAGCGTGCAACCAGACATCATCTCTTTTCCTTCCAACCATTTAGCAAGAGAGGTGTCAGTGACTGCTTTGATGATACTGTAGGAACCATCCAACAGCTGCATCACCCAAACAGTGAAGTGAATCCCAGTGTTAGGATAGCTGCGAGTTTCCCTTTCGAATGTAAGTACAGTGAAGCGTGGACGATTATCACCCCCTTCAAGAATCCGGATTGATCCATTCTTATGAACATACTTTGTCTGCACTTTTTCCTCTCCATGCAACACGAGGTCAGTCAAGAAATCAGGAGACGCATCATCGTAAGCGTCATGGAAGAAGTGTCTGTTGTACCGTTCAGCATCCTGCTTCACGGTCGTCATCTTGGCCGTTTCCTACCAACCAACAACTGGTTTCAGCGAACAATGGGGATCTCATTTTCAGGATTCCATTGCGAGCAAGCATGGCATCTCCAAAAGCAGCGAAATAGCCACCAGTTCTGGCAAGCAGAAAGGGGCCAACAAAAACAACATTCAATTTTCGTATGCTACTGCTGTCGGTCTATTATCTTGGCAAGCAAGGCTACCCCAATGACAATGCGAGTATGTCGCATGGGTAAGTTGAGTGTGCTCTATCGATATCTGTTAACTCTGCCACCTGTTGTCCTGTGCCTGTTCAGCATCTCTCACTCCAATCTGACAACTCTCTTTTCGACACACCATGCTAAACAGTATTAACTTCACCGGAGAAGCCGCTAAAACATGGCAGGCAAGGGTGATCGAGCAAGAGCAGTCCTTTGGCTTTCCAACGGGATACCCCTCGCCTTCTATCTCTAAGCATAGCATGTGCTGTCGGCACTCTCATAACTGTATTCGCCATTGCGGTTTTTCCATCGATCTGCTTGCTTTGTCGAGTGAAATTGGCTTCCTGATCCTGACGACGGCCAGACCTTAGGATACATCGTTATGAGCAGGGTCAAATAAAAGTCTTCACACTGGCGTCAGAAGCTGCGTGGTCGAAACACGATCACGTACTCAAGAACTCTAGGTACTACAGTATCGAGTATTAATAGCACCGGTAACCGCCGGTACCAGTACCGGTACCGTACACCACAGCGAGATTAGATTTTAAGTCTCCAAAAGCCTTTACCTTCCAACTGCCTCCAGAGTTTCAACCGATACAAGCAAAAATGAGTTAAAGGTACATGCACCTGAGGAGGAGATAAGGTGTAAGCTAAGAAAGCAATAATTGGCCTTTGAACTCTGAACTCTGAACAGTAAAGTAAAGTAAGTCTTATATATATGAGGGTTTTTGAAATTTAGGAAGCGTGCCTGATCACATAGGAGTAAAAATACAAAAATACTGTAAATAACAAATCGAGGCATTTCACCTATGACCCCTGCACCCCTGCAGGTCTCTGAAATTAGGATATAGTACTACCGGTATACATTGAATTATTCGATTCTTGCATTGGCAATTCAGCTTGTGCAGCTGCTTGTGCCCAGCCGTACCGCACGGTCCGACACAGATCGGCAACCAAGATTTAGACTACAGCGCATGTACTACTGGTAGTCCAGCTAGCTAGTATTACATGTAGCTACATGTACTCGAGTGCTGTAGCTGGTAGCTGGTAGTAGGCGTGTAAAAGCTGATGGCTACTAGCCAGGGTACCCGTACACATGCCACCAGCGCATGTATGTACCGCGTGAGCTGATGAAGGATCTGTTATCTATCTGTTCTATCTTTTCGAGTTCAGTCTTCTTGGTTGAGCGTTCCTATGCCTGCAGTCTTCTTGGTTGCGGAGCTGCAGATACATGTAGGCCTACATGTTCCATGGACGAGTATGTCTTTGGTGGTAAATACTCATTCCCAAAGCAGAAGAAGAGATTCGATTTGATTTGCTTCAGTTTTTGCATTTCACTTTAAGAGCCCACACTTTTTAAAATAGAAGTACAAAACTCAAACACCTCTAACTTTTACTTGTGAACCACCAACAATTTCGAAAACCATGACGACCCCAACAAAAGACCTTGAGTATGCCATTACTAAGCCGGTGGAAGATGACGACGATGAGCTGGAATCCATGACGGGGACGGCTCAGCGGGAAGATACGTCGAGCACCGAAGAGATTGCCATTGGAGTGGCCGAGAACAAGCGAGTGAGTCGCAACCGTTTCTTGGTGGCCGTTGTGTTGCTTGTATGTGCCACGGCGGCAGCCGTCTTGACCTATGTGATTACTGATCGCGAGGAGCGACAGAGTTTCGAGAATGAGTTTGCAGGAATCGCTTCCGAGATCATTTCCGTCTCGCAACGCGCCGAAGAGAACATCTTCAAGGTCATGGATGACTTTAGTACCATGATGACTTCGTCTGCCTTGGCCACCAACCAGACCTGGCCGTTTTATATCACCCCAGACTTTGAACGCCGCGCCAGAGCATCTCGTGCCGTCTCGGGAGGTCGCATGTTGGTGACCGTCAACGCCGTGCCTCCTGCCGCTCGCGACGAATGGAACGACTTTGCCAATCGCACCAAGGGATGGATGCAAGAGTCGGCGGAACTGCGCAATGTCACACCCGCTCCCTTTTTGCCCGTCATGTCCACATTCAACTACACCGAGGAAGGTCCCCAGAGGATCATTCCGGTCACGGGAGGCGACGACCTTCATCTCGTCGCCTCGCAAGTCAGTCCCGTCCCGACGGCACATCGTATTATTGTCAATATCGACTTTGGAACTACCTTCATCGACCGATGGCGCTACATGGAAGAAACGGGACGATCGGCGAGATCCCAGATTGTCAATATGAACTTTTGGCTCGAAGAACCCGCCGATGGACCAGTCAACCTCTTCTATCAACCCGTCTTTGACTCCTTTGACGAAGAAAACCGAAACTTGGCCGCCTTTGTCTACATGGCGCTCCGTGTTCAAGACCATTTCGAAGACCTACTCCACGACGGGGCCGTGGGAATCTATGTCGTGTTGACCAATACCTGTAACAAGACCGTCACCTACCAAGTCAATGGACGAGAGTCTGAATACCTTGGAGAGGGTGATCTACACGAAGAAGAATACGATTACTTGGGCATTGAGGCTGGTCTCACAGTGGCTCTCAATGAAATCCTCGAAGGCGGAACGGAATCGCAAACCGGAATGAGCTGTGGCTACTACATGACCATCTACCCATCCGCCCTGTTCCATGAAAACTTTCAGACAAGTCGTCCGGTCGTCTACACCATTGTCGTTCTCGCAATCTTTGCTTGCACTTCCCTCATCTTCATCCTCTATGATTGCAGCGTCCAACGTCGCCAAGAAACCGTCATGGATTCCGCTGTCAAGTCCAACAAGATTGTCAATGACCTCTTCCCAGAACAGTTCCGAGAGCAAATGCTAGAGAATGCAAACAACTCGAAACAAAATGATGCCTCCATGTTCAAGGTCAATGGGACACGAAAGTCTCTCACTAAGTTCATGAGTGGTGATCTAGGACCGTTTGACGACGATGAAGACATCTTCATGACCAAGCCAGTCGCAGATCTTTTTGCCGAAGGCAAGTCCGTCCTTGTGCTTGCTTTTGTTTTGCACCGAAGGTACTGATGCCTGCTCACACACTTCTTTCCTTGTGCGAACGGAACCCATCCACAGCTACTGTTTTGTTCGCGGACATTGTTGGGTTCACGGTAAGGACAGCATCATGTTCGCTGATCTATGGTCGTCAGCGGCTTGGTGCAGAGACTGATCAACATCTATCTCTTCTTCGATCTTTTAGGCATGGTCCTCCGTTCGCGAGCCTTCACAGGTGAGATCAAACCAAAGATCATTCGGGGTGATGCTTTGACACACATACAGAAGAGTACCATACCAACACACTATCACCTTTGTTTCTTGCTTCTAGGTGTTCACCTTGCTGGAAAGCATTTACCGGGCTTTTGACAAGGTTGCTGCCAGAAGGCACATTTTCAAAGTGGAGACTGTGGCAGATAGCTACGTGGCCGTGGCTGGAGTGCCCAAACCGGTGCCAAATCATGCAATGGTCATGGCTCGGTAAGAGCAGGACCTGGGATTCTATGTCTTCGCTCTTCAGTCCGTGTCCTCACTCTTCTCCTGCTACTCCCAGTTTTGCACGCGACTGTCTCCACAAGCTCCCTCAAGTTGTCAGTCGCCTCGATAAGCACCTGGGGCCCGGAACCAGAGATTTAACCATGCGGTTTGGGATACACAGTGGACCCGTGACAGCTGGAGTTCTGCGTGGAGAGAAGGTAGGTTTACATTCAGAGAAGGATGTTCTCCAGTTCATGTGCCCACATACTCATGCAATCTGTTTCACTTGTGAGGACAGGCCCGCTTTCAGTTGTTTGGAGATACTGGTGAGCAAACTGTTCTTGTCTGGCCCCGTTCTCTCGGACCCACAAAGGCTCACAGCTTCTCGCTGTCTCGTTTTGTCATCGAAAGTCAACACTGCGGCTCGCATTGAGAGCACCAGCATTGGCAACAAAATCCATCTTAGTGATCGGACTGCACAGCTTATCTGTGCTGCAGGAAAGGGTGCTTGGGTAGAACGCAGATCAGAAAAGGTGCATTTGAAAGGAAAAGGTGAGAGCCGTTGATCTCCTTGGCGTTTGTGACTTGGTCATCTTGTGGTTGGTGTAGTAATGCTGGAACACTTTCGTCTGCAGGTACCATGGAGACGTACTGGTTGAATGCTCAAGTAAGAGCAGGGTTGATGAGGGCTGGATCGGTTTGTGGATCTATGGTGTCAGACCAGAATGACAGAGTGGAACAGGCAACGTATCACTCCCCTGCTCTCTCGGATCATACTAGGAGGCTTGTCGAATGGAATATAGAGTCTTTGTCCCGTCTGCTACGCCAGATTGTGGCCTACCGGAAGACGACGTCCACGACAACCAAAACATTGAAAAAGGTCGTAGAGGAGGGCGGTCCCTCCACTTTGGATGAGGTCGCCGAGGTTATCGCACTTCCTGGCTTTGACCAACAAACAGCCTGCAAGAAGGTGGATCCAGACACCATTGTTCTTGGCCCTGATGTGATGAAACAGCTCTATTCGTATGTCTCCTGGGTTGCACAATCTTACAATGACAATCCATTCCACAACTGTACGTTTGCGCGACCCCTTTGGTTGCCCATAACCAGTTGAGTCCTCTTCAGACAATCTCACCTCCGTTCCTTCATTTCAGTCGAACACGCTTCTCATGTGATGATGTCTATCATGAAGTTACTCTCACGTATCGTGGCACCGGAATTGGAAATGGCGCCTGACACGGACGAAAAGGACAGAATCTCTCGCATTGCCGCTCAGTTGCACGATAATACTTACGGAATTACATCAGATCCAATGACTCAGGTATGCACCACGACATTCATGGCAATCATCGACTAGTGATCCAAAACTCACTCAATGTGTTCCCTGTTGCCCCAAGTTCGCGATCGCCCTCTCAGCCCTCGTGCATGATTGCGATCACCGAGGAGTACCCAATGGGCGACTGGTGGAGGAAGATGAACATCTTGCCCGGCTCTACGACCAATCTGTCGCAGAACAGCACAGCATCGACACAGCATGGTCTGAGTTGATGAGCGATGACTACAAGGACTTGCGGGCTTGTATCTATTCCAGCGATGACGAACTGAAGCGCTTTCGCCAAGGTAAGTGACCACCACACTCCCTCACTTTGCTGCTTATTCGAGTGTTATCTAACTGCCTTTCTCTACCTGAAAATCTTTGCTTCCAGTTGTCGTCAATGTTGTGCTTGGTAAGTTCATGGAAACTGTTTTGGTTATCTTTTCGTTTTTGGGGTAGCCACTGACCAGGTTTCTTTGCAACGACAGCGACTGACATCTTCGATAAGCAACTGAAAAAACTACGCAATGCTCGATGGGAGAAGGCCTTCCGAGTGCGATCACCCTCTGAGACCCTTGGAACCGTCGATGTCAACCGCAAGGCCACCATTGTCGTAAGTGCATGCGTAGTGTCTACGTTCTTCGAAGCCTTTGTCGAGATCTCACATGAAGCGGCCCTTTTCTTCACAGATGGAACACATCATGCAGGCTTCTGATGTGGCTCACTGGTAAGAAGGGGGGATATGGTGGCTGGTCTTGTTGAACATCTTCGTCTTGCATCTTCTTACACGCTTCCATGCCTCTCTTTCAACAGTATGCAGCACTGGCACGTGTACACAAAGTGGAATGAACGGTGAGTGAGAGGATTGTTCCAAGAACCCGTTTTGTGCTTGCACCCTAGCTAGGCTCACAACTCGTGTTCTCTTAAAACCGCAGGCTGTTTCAGGAGATGTTCAAAGCCTATGCCACAGGCAGGGCAGACAAAGACCCATCATTGGGTTGGTATAAGGGAGAGCTTTGGTTTTTTGACAACTACATCATCCCATTATCAAAGAAGTTGCATGATTGCGGTGTGTTTGGTGTCAGTAGTGATGAATACTTGAACTATGCCACAGGTAAGAAGTTTTGGTTGACTTTGCAACGGTCGTGTTGGGTTGTCTTCTGCCTCACGGGTTTCAACTGTTGTACATCTACTTGGATAAACAGAGAACAGGAAGGAGTGGGCAGAAAAGGGTGAAGCGATCGTTGCAGAAATGGCGAACAAGTACAGAACATTGTTGCAGCCGACGGAAGTCCCCGAAGCTTTTTCGGATGAGGAGGAGGGCACCAGCAAGATAAAGAACGAGCTGGAAGTCTGATTGGGATTCAGAATCGTAGACAAAAATACACCTACATAATGCGCTTAGCTCAGTGTTGTTCCTCGCCCATGCTCTCAACTAGGGTGCTAGGGTAGCATGGTACCTTGCTCGTAGAATCACTTGGAGGACCAGCTACAGGAGCTCTCTCTCTGTTTCTCGAACTCTCTCGAACGATCGAACGATCGAACTCTCTCTCGAAGTCTCTCTCTCTCTTCTCTCTCTCTCTCCTCTCTCTCTCTCTCTCTCTCTCTCTCTCTCGAATTCTCTCTTCTCTCTCTCTTTCTCTCTCTCTCCGGGTAGCTACCGGTGGTACGAGTACACGTTGGCTTGGCAGGGTTCGCTAACCAATCAATTATGTACTGGTTATTGGTTATTGGTTATTCAACCACTCAATTGGGGGTACTGGTTACTGGTTATATAACCACTCAAGCTTAGGTACTGGTTACTGGTTATTGGTTATTTAGCATTGGTTATAGGTTATTTTATAGGTTAGTAACCGGTAACCACTGGTTATATCAGTGGTTAACCAAAGGGTATTGAACATGGCCCGCAAGACCTGTGTGTTGTTTGCTCCCGTCCCATGTTCCATCCCAATTGCTACACCTTATGCATTGGCATCACGGAAGGCTGCATTAGCAGCGTCTTCATTGGCGTAATGCTCCAACTCGTCCAGCATTTCCTGGGTGATATCTTCAGGCTCGTTGCCCTCCTCCTCTGCATGGGTCAATTTCTTCACATGTTCTCTGAGGAGTCTCTTTGTGCGGTTCTCGACCACCCGCTTCCTTGCAACGCTCACAAGGTGACGGTGTTGGCGAAGGAAGGCACGATTCTTGTAGGTGAGAACCTTCATCTGAAACGTGATGTCTGTTTGATTGGAGTTGAGCTTTCCATCCATCCACGTGGCGCCACTGAAAGTTCTTTCCTGATCCCCATTACTTTCGGGCAAGGCAAGGACGATGCATGCAATAGGATACAGCAGTGGGAATTCTTCTTTGCCGGTATCCTCCCACCATTCCATAATGTCAAACTTCTCGGAAATGAAGTCGACGTGTTTGATCAAATCTTCCTTCTTGGTGCCAATTTTGAGGAGCTCGTCCTTATCCACAGGGATTCGTTTCTGCCCTCTGAGGACAGACACAATGTCGAACTTCTCATTCTTCATCCATTTGTTGATCGCAAGTTCCACCTTGTCAACATCCCCCGTCACTTCTTCCTCTACCGCCACAGTCTCCGTTCTCTGTCGCTTTCTGCGGCGTTGCTCCAGCCTGGACAGGTGTTTCCTCCTCCTCTGTTGCTGCTGTTGCATCTCCTGGCTTGTTTACAAGCGGAGCCTTCTCTGACAGTAGTTGATCGCACATTGCCTCGATTGCTTCCTTGAGTTGCTGTCTTGCCAAGGCCGTTACACCCTTGCAGCTGTTTTTGTACGCCTCATCGGCGAACTCCTCCACATGGTCGGCAAGCGTTTCCAAGTCGGGAAGAACAGTTGTTGTTGAGAATGGGTTGACCATCATCGCCAAACGACGGATCGCGTTGAAGCTACTTCTTGCGTCGGCTCCATACTCCATGAATTCATGTGCAATTCGATCGACCAACTGCACAGATGATCTTGCCATGGTCTTGTGTTTGTGAGGGACCCTTCTCATCCCAACCGTTGTCAGAGAGCTTGGAACAATGTACGTATTCCCCATCTTGGTTGGAGCTGGATCATACGGAGTTCCATCAAAGGTTCGCCTGGGGAAATTTGCATCTCCATCCCACTTGTCGGTAGTGTTTGGATTCTCAAGAATTCTCGTCTCTGGAATCCACCAGAATTATGGAACGAAATAGAGGACGGCAGTTCTGTAAAGAAAATAGTAAGAGTACGAGATGGAACCGAAGCGATCACTCTGAACAATCATAAGAAGGGTATACAGAGGAAACTGGACGGTATAGTGCTGGGAGACAATGTAGAAGTTGTCATCGCTGAGATCCTTGTTGCTGACGTTCTTGTGGTAGTAGATGCGAAGGTTCCATCTGGCAATAACCATATCCCCGTAGTGAAGAACAACTCCACCTAATCTAGTATGGTTGGGAACACGGATCCTTTTTCCAACTCGACCATCATCCCTCATCAGCTGGAGGAATACCTTGTAGCGTCCCTTGGATTTCTTTTCCATCAAGTGCTTTGCGCAAGCCTTACTCATCTTTCGTACCACCTGTCCCGGCTTAAAAGAGTCAACAACCTTCTTGTTGTCAGTCCTGACCCTCCGACCATTTGCACGGTCAAGACACAACTGCATCTGATGCATAGCACAAACACCATTAACTCCAGTAAGTTTGCGACCAACAGCGAGGGCTACTGCGGTGGTGTCATTAACGGCCCGGTACAACATGCTTTTCTTGATACCCAAAGTAGATAGGACTTCTTCGATCTGAGCGACGGTTGGTGTGGCCTTCTTGTTTTCCACAATACAAAGTGCAACGGCAATTCTGAAGTACTGTTTCCGGACGGGAGAGTAGAAGTAGATAGATGCTCCCAACACTTCCTTCTGGTTGGAATCCCAAACATCATGACTGATCATAATGAACTCTTGAGGCTTGCCAAAGATTCGGAAGTAGGCGTCGGCTGCCTCCGTCACATACATTTCCACTCCAGCAGAAAACTCAAACCAGGTTTCACGTCGCTTGGTTCGCAAAGCTTGCCTACCCATGAGTCTGTAATTGTTCACTCTCTTGAGGGCCTCGGCATTGGCAATGATGAACTGAATCATCCTAAAGTATTCAGGACATTTCGTGTGATCAGTAACAACACGCTCAGGAATGTTGTTGAAAGTGATGAACTCATCCTGTAAAATCTTGAACTGTTCGAGGACATTACCAAGTCCAGTCTGAACGGCTATGTTGTGCACCACATTGACAACACCAGGTGGAGACTTGAGATGGCTAACAGGTGAGCCTCTAACAGAAGCGACATGAGACGAAGCTTTACCCTGTGCAATACACGGCTCTTAGCCTTATTCGCGACTTGATCCTAGATAGGGTTTGAGTTCGACTCATGACTGAGTCTTTCGTGAATAGTCATTGAGACAGGGTTCTCATGACCGCTAGTCATACTAGGTCGATGGTGAAACATCGCGCTAGATATTTAGCTGGCGTGGAGAGATTCCACGCTACTAGATAAATGCTAGACGAATCTTCCACGCGTTCCGTTTTTGGATCGTGGAGTGAGTAGGATTACTACCACAACCTACTCTATCACACTTTACAGTCTCCCGCGGGAGTTCAGATCTACGATCCTTTGATTGTGGATCTCTCTCGTTGATTAGTTTTCATAGCTTTCTAATCCTCTCATAACTTTCATTCTCTCAAACTCAAAACAATCAAAAGATCTTTACACTAGCTTTTAGCGTAGTGCATTTTGTTAACAAACACAATAGCTTTCAGCTACCCTCAACCTATTCCTCACCATGAAGATTGCCAAAGACGCGTACACCAGCTTCGAGTCTAAGCTGCGCGACAAACCAATCCTTCCTCTCATCGACCTCGACGATGAATGCGAAATCGACGATTCTCGCGCTACCACCTACAAACTTCGCACTGTTCCAGCAGATGCTAACAGCGCCAAGTACACCTTCAAGGTCCAAATCATCAATGGATCTGAGACTCCACGTCAAACCATCAAGTGGGCTGGACGTATGGAGAAGGTCTTCGTCGGGCTCGCCATTGCTACGCCTGAAGACAAACATAACCTCCTCAAGGAGATGACTTCTAGCTCTGCCAAGAGCAGTTACGAATCTAGCTGTGCAGGCCATCGTGAAATACGTTGGAATGCCTTGCGCCAGATTGCAGTCAACGCGATTGCTCCACGCGACGTACGTGGCGGTGAAGACGAAGCCACTTTCCAAGCGCGTTTCCAGGCTGCCTGGAACGGAGCAGCTCAGCCTGCTTTGGACGACACTGACATTACGTTTGGCATAAATGCCTGTGTAAGTACTCCTGCTTGCAAAACGTTCAACACTCCTTCTTGAGATTGTTGGTGTGGACATGTGGTAGGGTGAGCCCTATAAATAGGATCTCTCAGCGTCGGGAGAGTCCTACTTGTAGTCGTCCATTTGCAACTCTCCCAACAGTACCATAGACTGGGTCGGAGCACATGGTCGAGAAGGCATGAGGCAGTTCTTGCTCTTCCTTATTTAAACTGATTTCGACTCTGGCACATCTGCTTAAGTCAGCTTTTGTAGTTGCATCAAGAATCTTCTTGAGACTATCTGCACTGTCGCTGACAGCTGCAGATCAGGAATGGAGAAGTTCTCTTCTCTATCGGTATCGCCATCTTTCACAGGGAAAAATGCTGTTCCACTCCATGACATGGTATGAAATCAAACTTGATCTTAGGTCGGAGAAGTGTCTTGACCTTGATCAGGTCATGCCCCCCAGTTCTTGGTGACGTGCAAATCCATTCGATAATTCTACAATCGTGGAACTCAGGAGATAACAGTCTGCCCTTACACTTCGTGCGGGTTTCAATTCCTTTACAGAAGCCAGTCCGTAGTGTTTGGGCCCCCATGATACTTCATGAGAGCAAACTCTTAGCATGAGTTTGAATTTTAGGTTCCGGATGCTCCTGTATCCAGTAAGCAACAGAGTGTAACGGGTTTTTTGTTCCCTTTCTCTCGTCTGTTAAATCTAACATAGACGATAGTTTTGGGTCTCTTGTCTTGCGACGTTGCGAGTTGGTTGGCCATGGACGAAGTTAACGATGCTGAATAGATCGTCAGAGTCTAGTTTGAGCAGTTGCTAGGCATTATCTAATTTGCCGTAGACTTCATTAGTTGCAAACAAATCTTGTTTACTATTTAGTGAGATATCTTCATCACTTAGGTATGAGAAATCGGAACATGGTTCCGTTGAATCATCATCCTGGCCTAATCCTCAGACGGAGATCTCTCCATCCGAATGATTGAAGTCGAATTCGGCAGCGCCTGTAACGGCAGCCATTTTCTTGTCCATCATGTTGATGATCCAACAGAGGAGTTGTCCTCATTGTCGGAGTCGTCTGACTTGCGCTTGGCAACATAGTTGCATTCGCTTTTCTTCTTGCGTAT